TTTTTTTTTTTTTTTTTTCCCCCACTAATCGTACATGTATAATACATTAAATATATTTTTTTTAATTTTTAATCGATGCAGGCATAATATATCGTGCAGAAGCCTCACTATATTTCAATAGTTATTTAATTGTCATTATATATTTTAATTTATTGTACTTGTAAATAATATTTATTGGAACAATAAACATTTTCTCTTTTTAAGCGATAAGTCATCGATATTATTTTGTTTTTATCATTTCTCAAGTGGTTTTTCTTTTCTGTTGTATGTTAAACCCATTATTATCCCTCATCTGATCCTTGTTATATAGTTATATAACTTATTTATTACGAATTCTAATTCAAATGTAAGTTGCTCCAGTATATCTATAATCAAAGATTCTTATTGTTAGTAGTAATCAATTCTGTATTAACATTATTAGTACTGTTTAAAAATAAGTAAATCACGAATTTTGTAATATTTCTTTTGACGTGACGGCCTTAAAAGTTATAAATATTCGATTTTTCATATCTTCCAAAGTGATGGATTACTATTGTTTTCTCCAAAGATAAAAGTTGAATGACATCACCGATTCAATGATTAAGGAATTTTCTATTTAGCATTTGCGTAGCTGCACGTGTATTACTAAATAACCGTCCACCTATTTTTCCATAAAAAACTCTTAATGGCCCTTAATCTAATCATAAGAATGAAAAATGAAAAAAAAATCTGCGGTTTTTCTCAAACTTAACAAACTGTCTAACAGCAGTTAGATATAATACAGCAGAGAAATATGATCAAGTTGGAAACTCATTTCAAGGACCTGGCAAGGTTAATAACGAAGATTACAGTTCATCGAGAACCATATGCTACACATATCAAATCAAAATTAATAACTAGAATTCTACAGGAATACGCAACACTGATACTTATGTAACTCTGTAATTGCTGATGTACATCTACATAATAGTACATTCAAACGCGTCATTCGTATTTCTTTTTATACTTGCATTTTTAATAGTACCGATGAAATAAACCTTTTGTTAAAAAACGCCATATAAACTATGATATAGAAACAACCTATCAGATAGAAACAAATTTTACAATGATAATGGAAATACTATTAATAAGAGATGGAGCATGTTTCAAGGGAAAACAAAGTGGAAGCAACATAGTTCCATTATGATTAATTTAACGTTTTGCAAAAATCTTAGATAAAATTATTAGATAAGATACTAATGTCTAATTTAGGAATAATGACAGAATGAAAATATCTAATATTAAAATATTGTCTGAGAAAAATTCAGAATTATTCCTTCAATTTTGAAATTTTAAAACAGAAAATAATATGCTTGTGAAATAACAAAGCTTTAGAAATACTAAATTCTTCTATTACACTATAAGTTCTTCGAATTACATTATTGGATAGAATGCAAGATTGAGCGTTAAAAGAATGTACACCCTAGCAAAAAGTAATCCAACAGGTTTTCTTATCAGTGATATTTCATACCCATTCTCGTATGTTTCATCATCATGTATACTATAGATTACCACAATATTACTATCTCTAAATCTTTATAATATTGATTTGTTTCCATATTAGCATGAAACATGCTACTTTAAGAAAAAACTGAAGAACTTTATACAAAAAATCCTGTATGATTTACTGTCAAAAATCATTTTCAGGAATGCACTTCATCCTGTCAGATATTCCTGCATGGAATCAATGAAGTGGACTCCACATGCAACTTGCACATAAAGATCTATAGGGTCATCCACTGTAATCAAAAATATCATCACTGGTTCAAAGACAAAGCCTATATAACTCATAATAGACAACATTCTATGTATAATAGATAATCGGAAATAAAGAAATAACAAGACTTCCTGACAGTTATATCATGTTGCTGATAAATGATAATTTTTGTGAATGAAGGTCTACTTATCTTGAATTGGAAAAAAGGTGTGTCTCAAAAAGATATCTTTCTGAAATCTTAAAAATAACTGTAAGATTTGGAAAATTAAAAATTTATATTATATGAATAATGAAAATGTATCAGAGCACAATTAAAATGTTGAAATATTGAATAACTAATATACAAATATTATACATGAATAACTAATAACTATATAATAATATTTAGATGCTTGTCAAAAATAATGGTCCTGGGTATCATTTTATTTTTACATCAGAAAAAGAGCAACTACATAAGTAATTGTCTATATTTCTATGTTCTAAATGAAATAAATGTTTAAAATAACATGAATTGACAAGAGCAATGACATACATTTGATGTTATGCAAATATAAAAAAAAATTATCATAGCAGCATAGTACACTGACGATTGGTATTTATTAAACAGAATTCACTATAAATAAAATAATACAAAACTAGCATGGAATGGCAGAATTGAATGACTGCCAATTAGAAGTTCGAGAAATATGATTAGAAATAAATTTGATTTGTAATTAAATTAATATTATTTCATCACTCGGCTTATTTTGACATATGAAACATTATTTGTTAACAGTTACAAATAACTAAAAAAAAAAAATCATTATACTACTTCTGATTACAATAGTATTAATATGTTGACTGTCATGCAAATTTTACTTCTTTTTGTTCTATATGCCAAGAAATAAAATAATAACTTTTTTTTTCTCTCTTCCAATAAAATTAAAAATAGATCTATCTCTTTATCCTAAAAAATAATATATTTATATTTATTCTGTTTAAACAAAAAATGCTTGATCAATAACAATATTCAATGGATAAAGAAGAATATGTTCACGTAACTAATAGATAGTCATAATTATTTTCAAAATTGTATCAGCTACGCTATATGAATGGAGTATTTGGAATTATTAAAGAATACTGAGTGCTTTGCAAAATTTAATACTTGTGACAATTCATGGTAGTTCAAACAAAGATTCATTCAATTTACGTTCATTTTACGACATTCAAAGTAAATGAAATGTCTCACTGCGATTAGACAACTCTACGTGTGTTCTTATACATACATTAAACGCTTTAAAGACGAAGTAAGAAGTAAAAACATGTTGGTTTTATGTAACCAATGTTAGATTTATTGAAAATTCAACGAATCTGTTCAATATATGCAAACTTCAATGTCCACGCAGCTTCGCAGTGAAGTTGTTGCAGTAGGAAAATTTGTAATTGCACAATTATTTCGCATTACAGCCTTCGCATGTGTGGATGTGCCAAAATCATTTCGAAAATATAGAATATTAAACCATGTGATGATTACGTTTCATCCTTATGAATTATATCTTTCTCTCATGTTCTGCAACACGTTGTGAAAAATTTCAATTTGTACACGTGAGAGAGAGCACAGCCATGTAAGAAAAGGAGAAGAGACTAGTAATCATGTGACACACATGAAAACTATGGAGGAAAAGGGAGGGAAGAGAGAAAAATCTTTGCCTCTTAATTGAAAATGTGAGAAGGGAAACGTGTGCATCCACTGACTTCGAAACAGCACGGTGAAATGCTGAATCTCGCAGAAGCGCAAGATGAACTTTTCCGTCGAAGTTGAAACGTGTCACGGATTTGCGTTCACCGGGCGAAAAAAAGGCGGACGAAAATGCAAAGATGGCGGACTCACCTGACACCTGCAGACGACGTCAGCATCCATCGCAAGCATATCGACGACCTTGCCTTTACCCTCGTCACCCCATTGCGCTCCGAGAACGACAGTCACTTTGGCCGCGTTGGCGGTCGACACGCGTTGCTTCTTTCGCGGTGAAGCGAGGACACCGTCGCCGTTTGCTTGCTGGACTGAACGCTGCATTCTCTTTTTTTTTCTTTTTTTTTTCTGAATATGAAAAACAACCGCAACTACCCGAGCGACCGAACGAATTACGCGCGCAGGCACACACACGTTCCGGGAACCGCCGCGCAACTGCTGAAACATAGACCGGTAGGAGAGCCCAGCTTATATCTCTCCGTCGAGTAAAGCGACATCTGAGAGGGAGCTTGGAAATCGTAGAAATTCAGTAAACTAAAGTGCAGGATAATTATAGAGCCACGTGAATATTAATTTCAGAACGGCATAAAGATTTTCGTCATTAAAAAACGCAACTCCGCGGCTAAATACGGATGATGGATTGATGATGCAAAGTGATGCATATCAAAAAAAAGTTTTGTTTAGAAGGAGGGAGAGAACGTGTCTCGATCGTTCGAGTAAAAGTATCCTCTGGTTGAAAAATTTACAATTAATTTAACGAAAAAGTTGATTAATTAAACAAACAAATTTTGATATATCTTTCTACGAACATGACAAAAATAATTTAAAGGAGAGTTAAAAGTACGTTTATGATGATTTGTATTGACACAGCATTTATGTCATTATAATTTTAGGTAATTACGTCATTAGTTACTTTAATTTAGGTAATCGCGGAGTTTATGTTTCATATACTAATATTATACATTTTAAGTTGTTCATTTTTTAATGCATACATGATAAAGCATATAACCTCAAATGTGACATTACATTTTATAAGATATGGTTATATGTTATTTTATAACATGTATGGTTCTATGTGTATCAAATTACTCTTAATTTTATTCTTATATTAAAACTATTTCATTTTAATTAATATAATCATTTATAAAAGCAATATTATCTAGTAATACAAAGTACATTTAACAATGTGTAATGAAATTTTTTTATTTTTTATTTCATTATATTATATTATATTTTAATATAATAGCTTTACAGAGTCATTCATCTATTGGTATCTCTTCCATTTTGGATTTATCTAATATGACCTTAAAATTACATTTAAATTTTAAGTTTTTAAATCTTTTGTTTATTTCATATTTGTGAAAAAAATACAAAAAAAATATCCAGAACTAAACTATGCTTTTTACATTATTTAGATCTCATTTCTTTAGTTGTATCTGCAAAAATGTAAATTTTCTGGTAGAATTGTAGTTAATTATACACGTGCCATATGTTTATCTGTATTAAGCTTGTTTATTTATGTTATCTTGAAATATAGTATTCAAAGAATTTTACACAATTATATAAGAATTTTATTTTTGGAAAAGACTATACAATTTGAAAAGATATTATATAATAAGCATAATTTTATTATGCATTAGTATAAAATTCACGTCGCTCCCTGGCACGTCGGTTTTGAAACCAAATTTTTATCTGAAACAGATCAGCATTGAAATTGCAATGATTATTATAAGATAATATCAGTTATATTTGTAGAGCTCAAATTTACTTATAATTTGTTATATTTATGGAACTTATAGTATCTGTGATAAATATTTGAAATTGTTTTCTATCTTAATTAAACTATCTATCAATAGCCATTCATTGTGTAACTTTTAGAAATAATCATTTGATCTGATCTTTATTTTAATTGTTGTCTTATTTTTTAGATGAAAAATAAGTACGTATAATTATTAATTATGTAATTATATCGAAGAAAGCTAAAAAATTGTTATACCGAAGAAATCGATAAACTATCAACAAGTGTCACAAAGGGGGGAAGAAAATAAACGTGTGCTGGTCTATCTTGAAATCTCTATCTAGAAGGTGAACTCTTAATCTTTATTGATAATATCTTCCTCTGTGCAAACGCCAAATTAAATGTTGGTTAATCAAGATAATCTGAAATTCCATAACTGGAAATAATGGTTCTTCCACACTTTTTTCTTCAAATTTATCTGTAAAACGTGCTTGCTCATAAAATCATTTACTACGTACTTCCATAGAGTTATTACATATACACGCTGTATGCACATGCTTTATAACTTGCGATAGGTTATCAACCCTCAATAAAATATATCTCGATTGGCGTTGCACTAAAAAAGATATTGTCAATGTTGTCAGTCAAGTTCGAAAGATCGATGATTATTTTAATGTTCTTCAAAGTTATTGCAAAAAGCAAAGTGTGCAGTATGTAATAAGTTATGCAATCTCAAAGATATTACATTTTCTTTACAGTATTGTTATTGTAGAGAAATTTTCGTTTGGTGTCAGAGGAAAAGGTTCTCAATCTCTGCAATCTCGTCAAAGGAGAAATTAACGATAAACGTTGTATAAATTTTGGAAAATACCCTATTGGGAGGTAGGTTTAAAACACTCGATATCTCCGAAACGTCGTCTTTTGAAAGATAAGCGCTGTGTCGAAATTGCTGCTCAAGGAAGTCCAATTGAAACGTTGAAAATGGTATTCGAGGATGAAGGCTTGGTTTTCGCCTATTTTTCCCGATCGTGGACTTTCGAGGAATTTTCGGCGGTCTATACCTTGTACATCGAAGCCATTCTAACTCTGCTGTATTCTTTGTCGCTTTCGTTTTGTTATTATCGAACGACGAACACTTATTCTCTATTCTTTTCAATTTCCTACAGAAATTGACTTTTGCGTCTTTATTTTTATTCTCTGACGAATCACTATGATTGTGATTCGAGTACTTGAATCGTTTATTGCCAGATTCTTCTTCTCGGTCCTGTTTCAATGGTTCCTCTCGTATTTTGTTGCGACAATCACTTTGACCTTCGTACCCTACATCTTCTTTTCCACTACGCATCGTTACTTCCGAGTCGTTTGTTTCACTGAAATTAGGTCCCTCTGTGTCAAGTTTCGAAACTTCATGAAAACAATGGACAACATCGTTTTCTTCGATACTCGACAAACGAGTAGAATATTCCTCTCCGTCGTGTCGATTGGAATCGGTTATTTTAAAATTCGCTTGATTCTTCTCTGTCGCATTAACTTCAACTTTTCCATTAGACTTGTCACTTTTATTACTTCTCAGATACGTGTTTCGCGTGTCACTTTCGCAGTTCGTCGGTAAACTTGGTGCAGGACTTTCCTTGATTGATTTAAAATTAATATTCCTCATGTTCACAGCAACATTCGCCCCGGTACTAATTTTAAACGATGTTTCAGAATTTCTCTCGAACTTCCCCGCTTGAGGATCGATTTTACAAGATTTTGGGACGGCGAACCGGGATGACCAGATGTTGGACGGGTCATTTCGAAGAAATATGGATCCATCTGCTAAGATACTCTCGATGCTAAAGTCCTTCGGCTTCCTAACCGATTTCATGTCGGAACTCAACTGCGGCCGCTTAATAAAATCCTCTTTATATATGGCATCCTCTCCGAGTGCACACCGCTGCGGCCACCCCAAATTTTAGCAAGTTGCGCCTGTTGAAGCTCGGTTTCGAATTAAACGCATAGTTGAACACACGATGCTATCTTGCCGGGCCAATGTTACCGCATACAGTGACTTTCAACCTTGGTCCTCTACTGTGCTTTTTTGCAGACAGAAACTTCTCAGAATGTTTCGCAAGGCGACTTCATTCCGAATGCCCTCTTTAACAGATATTCAAATCCGATTAAATCGACACGAAAAATATTGCAAAACATTAACGTAACAAGCTTGTCCTAACAGCTTGTAATAACCAAAGTAACTAAAGTAAGAAATTGTTAAATCAAATATTTAATGAACTGCAAACAAACGAATTCAAATAACATATCATAAGCGTAAAAGAATGTTTCAACGACGAGTTTTAATGACGATCCTTCGGTTTAGGTCATAACTGAAAATTTCGAGATGACAAACACTGATCTGACTGGTAGTACTCGAAAATATCACGTAATCCAGAACATATTATCCATGGGATATCGATCTGTGTTCTATTACAACAATGTAATTGATACTCTTGTGGGGAGAGAAGAAAACAGCGAATGAAGCGTAGAGACACCCCTGTGTTGCAATGATTTGTATAGAGCAGATGGGATACAATGAGGTTCGTATAATTAGAAATTACAAAGTATCCGGATAATCTGATAAATAGCTGCTGAATAGAAAGAACGCAAATATTTAGACACTCTTTTATGGTATCAACAGAAAAAGGGACTCGACTCTATCATTTTCTGAAAGTAAAAATATGTGTTAACTGTTGAGATGAGACGTAGCACAATAGTTAATGTTTACGATTTTCTTTCAAGGGATGCTGACCTTTTTATACTCTAAATCTATTTTAATACCCGAGGAAGCTTTTTATAAAATGACACAGTACATACACGATTCTCTTAAGGGATGCTGATCTCTTCATATTATGTGATTGATACGTTCAAAGGTGAAACTAAGACACAGTAATTATAACGATTTTATTAACATTAGAACTATCAAAATGATCAAAATGACCATTTGAATATTTTTGTTAAACATTTTACAGATATGAAACCGTATTTTTGGAGGCTTGAACGATTCTTCGTGAAATATATAAATAAAAGTGCTTGTGCACTCTGTTGTATTATAAAGATTTTCTGTTTCTTTTACCTTGATGGAAATTTTATGCTTTAGTCGTCAGTTCTTAGTTCTAGTGTTCAGGGATGCTGATCCTTTTATATTGTAAATCTACTTTAATACTTTAATAAAAAGGATAATAATAAAAATAGTAGATATACGATTCTCTTAAGGAATGCTGATCTCTTCGTAGAATGAATCTACTTTAACAAACATATATTCAGTGTATAACAAATGTATATACCATGCATACCTAAAACATGACAAAGCAATTTTATAATATTTGAAAGGAGTGCCAATGTCACTTTATCATTCGTTTCATACTTACAATGCACGACAAGCAAGCGATTAATGTATATATAATGTAGTAAAGATGAAAAAGCGGAGAAGCATTGCGGACGAAGCAAGCGAACGTAATTAAGATATGGCGCAGCAGTTACACGAGTTTTTCAAGAAACGCTGATAAAGATCGAACGCTTTGGTCTAAATCAAACGCCTTATTAATCTAAGTCCGATTAATTTGATGAACACAAGTTATGAAATAATGAAATAATGAAGTAGTGCTTAGAATTAAATGTGATTAATTTCCATTATATTTAACGGAACTTTTTCGCTATAAATAAAACGAGGGTGTAAAACGAAAGATGCAATTTTAAAAGTTTACGAATCAATCTTCTCAATTGGTTCTTTCTACAAATGAATTTGAAAGTTTGTAGTTTTAAACATCTGTTAACAATTTTATTGACATTCGTAAATTTTAAAAATTCTTATTCTTGCATTTTTTTGGGTCAAATGGGTCAAACGGGCTATAGAATTAAAAACGAGGATCTAATTAAGAAAATACAATCGCTAAAGTTCACAAATTAATCTTTTAAATTATTTTTTTTTTTTTTTATCAATGAAATTCAAATTATTAATGCCATCTGTCGCTAACACGCTGGTTAGGTAACAGATAACTGGTGATAAACAAGGAGAGCAATAGCGTGTGACGAGGACAGTAATAGAGGTTAGTTCCATAATTTCACCGCTACGCGGCGCTAGCATTTCAGTGTCTGTAGATACGATGATCGATAAATGATAAAGTCACTGCTACAAAGGAAATTTTATTCTTTATTTTAACGTTTACATAATACAGAATATAATGGATGAATGACGACTGTTTATTAATTTCTTAACAACTGTTATATATATTCTTGGCAATTTGTTTGTAACTTGGTAACCAATAATTTGTTGGTATCACCGTGGTAACTTTTGATAAGACAACTGAATAGCAATAGATGTCGCTACATGTCCATAAAACGAACAAATTTTCATTTGCAAAAAAACTCAATTTAGAAGATTAATTTGTGAATTTCTTTGAGATTGCACTTTCTTAATTAAATCCTCAGCTTTAATTCTATACCCTCGAGCCGGAAAATATAGAAATAATATTATATATTTTTTAAATTTATTAGCACCAGCGAGTCACCGACGGATGGCGCCATCATATACAACCCAGCAACTTCAAATTCAATTGTAAAAAAAATTAAAAGGAATAATTTGTGAACTTTCGGAACTGCGTCTTCCGTTTTAGAGTTTGAGCTTTCTTCCTATATTTCTATATCTAACCTATAGAATGTACAAATAAAAATTTAAAAATTTTGTTCAATAGATCGAAACATTTGCTATGAAAAATTCAATTTCTCGTAAACTACGCGCGAAATTTGAATAAAACTCGTGAAATTGTTTTAATATTATCAAGCTGATGATTGAAACTTTAATCTTACGATACTTGCAGAATTATATTAATATTAATATTTATAAATGATTATAAACGATTTTCATGAAAAATTACAAATGTTATCTCTCATATTATCAAATTTTCACTCAGAGTTTAATCAACGTAGTTTATACGCACTTTATTATTTATAAACATTAGGTTACATTTCTGTCAACATTGCAATATGGTACAGTGTATTTTTAAAGATAGCACATTATGTATATGTATATTTTTGATTCGTGCAATGTTATCTAGGTTTAAACAGTTAAAATTAAATTAAAAGTAATGAGAATTTCAATTTTAATCGCACGAAAGATGATATTTATTAAGATAAAATCGACAATAATAAATAAAACAAAAGTATCGTGACTTTGGCGCAACACAATTTTGTGTTGAGGTTATATTAATTTATTTCACTTTTAAGGTTATATTGTATTTATTATTTTTAATAAATAACCGAATATGCGACTCAGTTAGTGAGAATGTAGCCTTCGAATAATTATAAAAATAATATCAACAATGTATTTGACTGCACGAAGATGAATTTTTCGTTACATATGAACTTGGAATTTATTATTGTTTTTATCAGTAATGATTGATATTTAATAAATAAAAATGAACATCATGCCTTCTACAAAGAGTGAGGTAATTATAAAAAATTTATATTTATTATCACAGTGTTTAACAATACAATCTTATTTTGTATAATCTTTAATGTCTTATAATTAAAGAGAATATAATTTTTAAGCTAATACGAATACTACACAGTTAAATGCATAAATTGTATCACACATTCATGATACTGATATTTGTACAATCATTATAAAACAGTTAAAGATATGAATTTTATTTAAAGAAATACATGTTAATCGTATGAAAATTATTGGTACCTTGTCTTGTAATTGTAAGCATAGTTTTACAATAATACAAGATTTAAAGTATATTTAGTTAGATTAAGTCATACATGATGAATGACCATTTACTTCAAATAAAATATTAAATTAATCAAGTTTTAATTTTGTATAATGTATTATATTAAACAAATATTATGTTACAGGAGAATATTATTTTAGAAGCAGATATTGTTTTCTTGTTAATGAGAAAAGGGTTTCCTATATCTCGCAATGTAAGAGCACAATGGATGTTGGAGCATTTAGACACTGTGATAAGTATTCAGTGTTCAAATTCTAAAACAAAGGAGGCAGCAGAACTAGAAGTAGCATCGGTGCTGCCAAAAAATAAATCCGGATCATGGTCTCCTGAAACAAGCCAACAGTATCTTTACAAAGTAACTTCTACAACCTCAATAATATTTCTGGCACACAAGTACAGGATGGTATTTAATCTGGACTTGAGCCCATCCCTTGCAACTGTAGTAAGTCATTAATCATTAAGTAAATGTAATAACTTTATTATTGGCAAACTATCTTCCATAATATGCGTGATTCAGTTTAGGGACTAATTCAGCACGTAAAATTGTTAATAATAGAAGTTTATATAAGATGTTAATGAACTCATAGGACATTTTTTGAGGATTGATTCTAGACACTGAAACAAACACAATTCGCAAAAATGTCAATTGAGGCTTACTTTTCAAGTTACAAACGATAATGTTTTATGCTAGATAAGTGTACATATATGTATTTGCTGAATTTATGGTATCATTACTAACCATTAATAATGGTTAGTGAATCGAAATTTTGTCGATATTCCATATTTCAGTTCGTGGATTTTGGAATAAAAATCACAATATGATTATAATGCTGCATGTTATTAAATTTAAAATACATTTATTAAAATATAAAAGATATATCTAAAATATAAAAATATAAAAAATCTTTTACTGCATATTTATTGTCGTTGTAGGATATACAACATGGTGAAATAGTCATAGATGAGGTGTACACGGCAACTAAACATTTCTTGGAAAGCATTATTAGGCCTGTAAGTAATGCTCAGTTGCTTTTCTCTACATAGGCAAAATTAATATCAACTTAATAAAAATTGCATTTGGTCATAATTTAATTATTATCCAAAAATTATTTAACTTTTTCGAATTTTATTTAAACTATATTGTAATTTATGTAAAATTAGGCAGAGTTTAAGCCATAATTACTGATTTCAAAGACAGACTTTTAAAGTTGTTAATTTTTAGTAAATTTTTATAAAAAAATAATTTACAAAAAAATAACATAGATTTTCACAATTTGGAAACAGAATTTAATGAATCTAATATTGTTGCAGTTTACTATACCAGGAAGTAAAAGAATAATGCAACCAGAGATCTATGTAACCATAATAGTCCATACACCTTTTTTCACAAGTCCTGCACAACAAGTTTTGGTACAAGGTTGGCTAGTAACTTTGGACAATGTTAAACAGCTGACACATTTCATAGAGAATCAACTCCATATATTAGAGGAGAAAGTGGCATGTGTTACCGCTATAGCTAGCCAACAATTGGAAAATTTAAAAGCGGAGAACGAACGTTTAGTCGGAGGTCTTTTTGAAGAGAGCAACGCTTGTCTAAATAAAAATAACAATACTTGTCTTGCTAGTACTTCGTTAATTTCCCCGGAATCAAGCTTCATCAATATGTTGAGGTACGGGATGTTAGCGCTTACTCTACTACCGGAACATAGTTGTGCACGTAAGTCTGAATATATTAAAGTATATTGGATTAACGCGTTTATGTATCACAAAGTTTTACCCCGAGTTGCAGCTGAGTCTACATAATTAATTAGAATGTTAATCATATATTTTAGATATGATAGTCGTTTCGGATGGTATAGTTGGAAATACCGATGTCCATGTTTTGGATTCGGTTATACAACAGTTACGTGCAACAACAATTGCATGCAGTTTTCTACACGTTGGAAGTACATACCATCCACATTGTGCTGATGGTTTAGTGCCATATCAAGAGTTGTTACATTTCATTGCAAAAGCTACATTGGGTACTTACATGTCTTTTCGTCCATATCCTGTACGTAATATTTTACTTATATACCTAGATAATAAAGATATTAAGTATTACATTACTGTTAATCTCTTTACTCTTAGAAATAAAAATTATTAGACAAATTAAAAGGACACGTGCGCGCGTATATATACATGTATATGTTTATTAAATTAATTAACTTTTGTAGGTAGATTTAAACGAAACAGAGATGAATGTTTATCACAAAAGCTTTTTATGTTGGCAATTATATCGCGAAGTATGCTGTAACATTGCCCCAGATTATTCGAACTGGCATTCGAAAAATTCATTATTTTATGAAGAAAAATCGACGCAGCTTCTGCAGAAGAAACAGATTGAGGACAAAGTGACATGCGCATTAAGCAGTCTATTGTGTTGTCGCCTCCGAGAGGGATATTTAATAAAAAGTGCTAACGTGAGAGACGAAATACTCGAAATTTGTTTTGTATTATTGTGGAGGTCCAGTGTTTTGCTAGAATATGTAGTGACATGCCCTTGGTTAACGAAATCATTGTCCGTGTCCAATACAATACAGTATACAATTACTACAGAAGGTAAATTAAAATAAAATTTATTTTTGAATCAACTATTGTCAAAGTTCGAATGTAAGATCGAATCAATATAGTCTTGACATTTAGAAGATTCATTGTGATTAATTATCGTTTGTTGCAGCGCCCTATGAATTTTTACACGATATCACATGTCTGTCAAAAAAGCCATTGAAGTCGCAATATCGACAAGGTGTTGTCAATCGGTTTTGGGCAACATTAACATCTTTAACAGAAAGTGACAGTATGCTTGCACACTTCAGTTGGTTCCCAGAATTCGGCTGGACTTGGTACAGCGTGCCAGATACTATCAGGAGTGGCATGCCAGTCTTTTATTTATCGGCTTATCCTTCACCTAGCACCGTGCAACTTAGGTACATCTCGTATTCACGAAAATTGAATAAACGAATCGTTGAATTCACTTCGAAAATTTATGCATACCGATATACTTGTTTCCAGTGATGCTGCATGCCCACAATTCGGACAGATTTGGCAACCTGTAGTGTCTTTAAATCCTTTACAGTGGGCCCGTTGGATGCATACCCAAAGAGTAACGTTGATTTTATCGCACGACAGGCCGCTGCCGAAGCACCTGCATCAAGCAAATCAAAGCGGGCGTTTCCAATGTGTTCAAAGTCGTCAGGCAGCCGCCGTTCTCTACGCCATGCTGAAAAATTGGGCAACCTTCGTCCTTGTCGAGAATCACACATACGTGCAATTTATTTATCGAGAGGCGGACAAACCACCCGTTTCGTTCTCGTTGATCCGTATCAATTGCAAAGCACTCTGCGTCATCCTTAACATTGCGTTTGCCGCTGGAACCGAGGGAGTCGTCCGGCATAACGTTGTCGTCGACCTTCTAGATCGATTGTCCAAACTTACTTTACCGAACAGGCCTACGGAGCAAAAAGAAACGCCGTCCTGTACTATCGTTCACAAATCTTTGGAGAAGATACTGATCAGATACGAGCGAATGCCAACCGACTTGAGCTCCATCGTGTTCCCCGATGGAACTCTACCCATTTCAACCAGACTCACGCCAATGTTTGGTGGAATTTTGACGACTAGTTTGTCTAGATATTTGTATCACAATCGATGGCTCTGGCACGTGAAACGGCCACTCGTACAAACCATCCCTGGAATTGTATTACCAAGATTGAACATAACTGCGATCGCAAGGATCCTTTCTACAATCACGAAGCAAGTATTTTGTGTTAATTTAATTCTTCTTGTTGCCATCATCGTGCTTTACTTCACAATTCTTACAAAATCGAAAGTTTGCCAATTAATGAAAATAGATTTAGATTATATATTTCTACTTTTTAGAATGCGTTTGGCTGAGGGCTTCAATTTCACTTATTCAGCAGCCGGCATTATAAACATGGTTCTTGAAGTGCAGATGCAAGGAGTTGGCGAGAATGATACTACATATCCGTGTATTATTCAATACATATTATTTCCGCCACACGTCATGTCAAATGCGACATTAGAACGCGACAGTGCGTCGGAGGAAGACACTGACGAAGGTAAGAATACCTTTTTAAAATAAAAGGTATGAATGAATATTTAGATTTGGATTAACAGATGCATTTCTTACATTTAGGGACCGCAGATGGTGAAATAAGCGTAGAAGATGCTGAGGGTTCCGGCGATTTTCAAATCATTTCTGAGATTTGGATTGAACCACAGTGTGGTTTCTCTCAACTGTCTGTACAGTCCACAGCAACATACATGAATCGTTTGCAGTATCATGAGATCCCAGACGCAGTGAGTACATACATGTACATATTTTACTATATATAAATTTA